AGCAGCAACGGCTGGATTTGTAGCAGTGTCTCTGCAGCAACAGGACCCGCTGCTGCTGCTGCTGCTGCTGTGCCCGTCTCAACGTGCACTTGTTGCTGCTGCTGATCGGCTGCAGGCCTAGTAGGTCCTTAAATCCTGCTTATTGTATTTGTCTGGGATATTATAATTAAAATAAAGTATTATATTGTCTTTGTTCATCTGGCATTCCATTGCCACCGAGGTGCACGTACACCCGGGCGCTTGGCTCCTTGTCTGTCTCTCTCTCTCTCTCTTCTCTCTGCTGTCTGCTGGGCTCGAGCGGCTGCTGCAGCAGCAGCAGCAGCAACGGCAGCAGCAGCAGCTGCAGCAAAACAGCAGCAAAACACAATTGTATGTTCTTGTCTTACCCTGGCACTAAGAAACTTTCTCCCCTTCTTGCTAAGCCGCACAGGCCCGCCCCATACGTTGCTGCTGCTGCTGCTGCTGCTGCTGTTGCTGTTGCTGCTGCTCCCTGCGGTGCTACAGCAGCAGCAGCAAAAGCCGCAGCAGCAGCAGCAGCAGTTCTCTCTACGGGGTGCGCTTACCTCTTTTATCGTTTGGTGTATTGGGAGAAGCTGCGCAGCACATCTGTGCAGCAGCAGCACCAGCAGCAGCAGCAGCAGCAGCAGCAGCAGTTGCAGCAGCAGCAGTTGCAGCAGCAGCAGCAGCAGCAGCAGCAGCAAGCCTTGTGTGTCTCTACATGATGCTAAAAGGCTTACTAAAAGCTACAACAGCTTATATAGTTAGATAAAAGAATTAAGGAGACAGAGAGATCTCAGCTGTCTATACACCCCAGAAAGGAGACACATACATACATACATACATACAGCAGCAGCAGCAGCAGCAGCAGCAGGAGCAGCAGCAGCAGCAGCAGCATAAAAAACAAGAGGGAGGAGGAGACGATCCCAGCTATTTATTTGTATTAAGCTCTGGGTCGATAGAGGGAACCGATCCCACACACAATACAATCCCAGGGAGGAGACGATCCCAGGGGGGAGACGATCCCAGAGGGACACACAACCACGGAGACGATCCCAGGGGGGAGACGATCCCACACACAATACAACCCCAGGGAGGAGACGATCCCAGGGGGGAGACGATCCCACACACAATACAATCCCAGGGGGGAGACGATCCCAAGGGGGAGACGATCCCAGGGGGGAGACGATCCCACACACAATACAATCCCAGGGGGGAGACGATCCCAGGGGGGAGACGACGATCCCAGGGAGACGACAATCTGAGGGAGACGATCCCACACACAATACTATCCCAGAGGGACACACAGACTTAGGGAGACGACGATCCCAGGGGGGAGAGACGATCCCAGGGGGGAGACGATCCCAGGGAGACGACGATCCCAGGGAGGAGACGATCCCAGGGAGGAGACGATCCCACACACTACACGATCCCAGGGAGGAGACGATCCCAGGGGGGAGACGATCCCAGAGGGACACAGAGACTGAGGGAGACGATCCCAGGGGGGAGACGATCCCAGGGGGGAGACGATCTGAGGGAGTTGTGTGGGGTTTGCTGAGTGGTGTGGGGACAGTCAAAGCACTGATCGCCCACGTACATACAAACAAAGCAGCAGCAGCAGCAGCAGCAGCAGCAGCAGCGGCAGCAGCAGCAGCAGCAGCAGCAGCAGCAGCAGCGCATTGAGTAGTCCGTATAGTGTAAGAACATGAGGGAACTGCCTCGCCCCTACAGCTCAGGCCTGGCAGCAACAGAGTGCATCAGCAGCAGCAGCAGTAAGCAGCAACAGCAGCAGCAACGGCGGCAGCAGCAGCAGCAGCAGCAGCAGCAGAAGCCGCTGTAGTACTAACAGTAGCAGCCGCAGCAATAGCAGCAGCAGCAACAGCAGCAGCAGCAGCAGCAGCAGCAGATCGCCATGAGGGAAGCAAACGAAGGCTGTGCGCCTTTGATTGAAGACACCTCAGGCAGCTGCACCGCTGCCTCTGCTGCTGCAGCAGAAACAGCAGCAGCAGCAGCAGCAGCAGCAGCAGCAGCAGCAGCAGACCTAGATTATTCTGTATGTCCAGAGGTGAGTGAGGGATCTGCATCGCAGCGTAAGTCTGTGTCTTTGAGCAGCAGCAGCAGCAGCAGCAGCAGCAGCAGCACCACCACCACCACCGCCAGCAGCAGCAGCAGCAGCAGCAGCAGCAGCAGGTCTCCTGTGTCGCAGCAGCTGAAGGCGCTGCTGCTGCCCCCCCTCTTCGGGGGGCCCCGCTACTGCCTCAGCTCCTCCTCTGCTGACTCGCCAGCTGTATCCCCAGCTCTTGAGGGGGTGCTGGCGCCTGCAGAGGTGCAGGGGAGCCCGACGCTGCTGCTGTCGTCGATTGCTGCTGT